CCACCTTCACTGTGGTCCAGTTTCCAACCTTACGCAAAACCATGTTCAAACGCTCGTTTTTTTTTGGTGGTTTTTTTTGTTTGTTTGTTGTTGTTGTTGTTTTTTTTGGGGGGGGGGGGTTCAGAAAAACACCCAAGCATTACAATTCTATTAGGCCTATCTGAAGGCTTAAATAGCCGATTCCGCTGTCTTCTTGCACAAATTTAGCCATTTTACAAGTTTGCCTTCAATACCTCGTCTCTGGTCACATAAACATTGTATTAATTATTAAGTACCCTCAAGTGATTCATAGTTAATAAATACAACAGCGAAAACAGCAGCAGCAGCAAAAACAACAACAACAACAACAACAACAACAACAGCGCTGACGCCAAAAACACCAAAAACAATAACAATCACTACAACCACAACAACAACAACAATAACAACAACACACAACAACAACTACAGCAACAACCAAAGCAGAGGCAGCAACAGTAACAACAATAAAAACATACAAATAACAGTAATACCTGCAATATAGGGGAAGCTGGTCGTGTAAAGGAAATGGTCACCTTTTTTATGTTTGTTATTATTTCTATTTTTCTGCGCAAATTTTCAAGAACATCTTCAAAGAGGCTGGAGGTGTTTCCGGGCGTATGTTTACACCTTTCGGGCGTAAAGCAGGGCACAAGTTCCCTCTTTTGCAGTGACTTAAAGGCACGATGAGAGAGCGCAAAGAGGGAAGGAAAGTGTGTGAACTATGTCAACGTGCCTTCGAAACGAACTTGTTGTAATGGTTCAGGTGTACTGGTAACACCCAACAGCCCCCGAGATTACCTTGTGAAGGCAAATAGATGGACGGGTCATTAGCTGTTTGGAGAGACCCCATCCTGTCTCCACTAACGCTCATTCAGAAAAAATATCCTTGGTTACACTACGATATTATGTATAATATTTCTAAAACCGTACCTTACCTTTACCTGTTGTATACCCTGCCCTTTTTCACCCATTGGAAAGCCATTATATTATGTTAGAAGCTTAAC